TGTGACTATATTAATTAATGATTATGTCCTGTATAGCCACAGTACCTCAGTTATGCCATGACTGCATTCCAATTCATCATTCATCTGTCATCATCTGATGCTATATAGTCTCAATACTGAGGGCATCATAAAATAACCCACTGTGTGTGCGTCTTGTATTACCAATCAGAATGCCTAATGCTGAGGCTGATGTCTGTAGTATTTTATAAATATGTATGATAATGACAGATTATTCAGTGTGGTCCCGCTGCCAAAGTTGAGGAATTATTTCTTTAACATTTTTACTTATGAATTAATGTATGATGACCATACAGTGATTAATAATGATAGAGTATTTGAATGTTGCAGTACTTCCATTAAAGTTTTAACTACTATATATTGTGGTATAAGGAGTGAGAATAGGGTCATCAAGAACAAACTGTGTAGTTTTAATCTGAGGTATAAAGTCATGCGATTTGTTGTGAAATATGCAACACAGATTTTGTTCCTTCCTTGCTGTTTATGAGTTTGTACATGCACATGTATATTAAGTTCCCTTAGTGGCAGTAAATTTGGATGCCTAACAAAGTACTATGTCATCCATTCAGCAGAAAGCCCAAGTCATCATATTGTCACGTGTCTTGAGTTCGAAGCTCGTCGGTCACGTGTGTAAGTTCAAATCCCACTTCTGACACCAGTTGTTGCGTATTGGCCGTATATCGCGACAAATAACTTCTCGATGTATTTGATGTAGCGAATTTTATTTCACATTCGCACTTACAATCACCCAAATTACAGATTTACGATTACTGCTATCTGCAGTATCACAATTAGTACACTCCAAATGCCACAATACAACTGACTGGTTGCTGGCTAACTCGGAACTAACGTAGCTCGAGGACTGACTCGTAGGTAGCTCCAGGACTAACTGACTGTGAATAGCCTTCGCTGCTCCTTATGTAGCCTCGATCGGACAATACGGAAAACGGCCACATAATAGGCACCCTTGTTGCCTGGCACTGTGTTGCTAGTAACGCTAGCGGAAGTAACCGCTGTTACTACTTGGTGATGTCACCGCTGTTGACTCGCGTTGCCTAGCGACCAGGATGCTAGGACTCGGCTAACATCGGCTCGCTTCGGCTTCGCTCGGCGCATCACGGCTGGCGGGGG